CTGCTTGGTTTGAGTGATTTACAGGGGTATACAGAGATTTGTCGCCTTTGAGCTGACTTGCTCCACTGCTGGCCAGAGGTCAGCCCGTTGGCCTGTAAAAAATGAATTGTCGATCTCTGTGGCTTTTCCTGGTGGCCACAGTCCTGGGGCTGTTGTCAGTCCTGATGCTGAGCTCAACTGGGGGCTGGAGGGGACTGCCCAGGGTATTTGCTCAGCCTCTTAGCAATGGTGATTTCATTTTGGACACCCCTATAAAGTGACCCTATGCAGGGCATATCCAAATCTCCTTTTTAGTTAGTGGGTAGAGGAGCAGCAATGCCAGCAGCTGGACTGGTAGCCTTTGCTCAAAAATGCGATTTCTTGTCACAGTGGTTGCTTTGGGAAGTTCACAAGAAAGAAGCACGTTTTCTTTTTTTTTTCAGATTATTTCTGTTGTTGCAGAAGGTTAGCTGCATAGCGGATGGGCACAATGGAATTAGCAGCAGAGGTATCTACAAGCATGTGACCATTTTTGTACGACATGTACGTTGTGCTTCTTCCTGAGAAATGCTGGGAACAAATCGTCATAGAAATGCAAAATACAGTCAATCTGTATTGGGCTGAGGCTAGAAATGAGGGCCCTATAGCCTGGAGAGATGTGTATGAATCTGTGTGAGGAAAATGCTCCTTAATTAGACGGGTTGACAGATCCTGTTTCTCCCGCTCCTTCCGCAGTTTGCAGTGTTCAGTCTAGGAAACACCTCCCGAGCTCGCCCACTGCTGCCCTCACAGAAGGCCGGGCTCACTCACCTGGAGTCCTCCATGCCATAGGGCTGCACGTCACCCAGACCTGCATCGTGACCTGTTTGGCTGGATGGACAACTTCAGCCTGGGAGGGGAGCCAGCACATCCCCTGCCCTCTGCACGCCGTGTTCTTTAATTCTCCTTCCCGGCAGCTGGCCGGGCTCTGGTGTGGAGGGGACGGTGTCTGTCCCAGCGGGGCCTGGATGGGCTCTGGGGCTGTGCCAGGGGCCCTGTCCCCTCCTTTCTCTCCTCACTGTACTGCCGTGCTGAGCACCGCTGCTCTGAAAGTTGCTTAACAGACAATGCTTGACTCTATCTTGACAATACACCCTTTTCTTGAGAGAAATGAGAAGTTTCAATTTCAGTCACTAGCCTGTTTTTCATTGACCTGTTTTAGTCAGCAAGTCATGGCTTTACTGTGCCACTCTCTCAAACTGCCACTCATGAGCCTAACGAGACTGTGGAGCAAAACTCCTGTCCTCTGCAGAAAATGCACAGAAGAGACAGTTTTACCCCAAACATTAGAGGAGACTTGGTCATATTAACGCTACAGTAAATGTGAAATATTTTTGATTTACAGAGTACTTTAGGCCCCAGTTGGGAGGTGGTAGGGAAAGGCTTTGGAGTGAAGTTAATAAACCTTTTAAAACTTTTGACTGAATCTTTTATTCAGTGTTTGTATAACTCAGTTATCTGCTAGTTAATACCAGTATTTTTGATACCTCTCCAGAGCCAATACATGACAACCTTCAGCCCTGTTGGGTATTTGTGCTACAGCATATTTAATAGCCATGACAACAATTCAACAATTGTATAGAAGCCTCCCCTCCCTGTCTGAGTGTTGCAGGCACCAGAGTGTCTCCATTGGAAAACCCCTAAACATACAGTTTCAGCCAAAACTGGCTTAATGATAGTCTACTGAGAGCTTGACGGGCTTTTTTTTTCCCCTTAAAAAAAAAAAAAAAAAGGGGGGTGCACTTTTTTCCCTCCCCCCCCTCAATTTTTTTTCTTAACTTCTTCGCTGCTTTTGTGAAAGCTGCCGCTGTAAAACACAAGGCAAATTAAAAAAAATAAATTGCCTTAAGTTGCTTAACAGGCTTGATGAGACAAAGCCTGGTGTGTTGGAGTGGCTGCAGGGAGCTCTGCGGCTGCTTTTGTATGATTTCAGAGGTGAATTGAGATGGCTGGAAGATAGATGGGTGCCAGATGCAGTTTGACACAGATTCCGGCAGCTGCTCCTGCGCGAGGTTTCATTAGCGCAGAGTTAGCGAGCAGCAGAGCGCCAGCGAGGCCCCCAGTGCTGCGCTGACAGCACCAGCACTCAAACAATACAATATTCGCTAAGTGATTTTAATCTGGCAGATTAAATGACACCCAGTTGGTTTCCCGACTTAGAAAGCCAACACAGTACAAAGCTGTTCGTGGCACTCGCTGTACCCAGGCCTTGTCACATACATTTACATTGAGAGTGCTTTCCCGAGCCCCTCGTCCTGAAATGCGAAGAGAAGGGTTGATTTTGTGTTGCAGACATATTTTTCCATCCTCACTGTATAATGTGCTTTTAACTACAACAGGAAACATTGGCCTCGCTTCAGCAAATGCTTACATTGGACCGAAGTACTCGTGTGCTCCTGCTAAGCGCAGGCCAAACTGTTTGAAAGATTAGGGCCATGGTCTGTAAAGTGAACGGCTTCCTTTTTAATAGATGGGCAAGTCCCAAAATCAGGAAACAGTCAGTATTTATGGGCTTGGGCAATCGAGTTTGGTTTTAAATAAACCAGTGTGCTACAATGGATGACTTGATAGAAATGGTGGAGGAGCTGCTGTTCTCCAGGCAGATGAAGTTTTATTTGTGAAGGAATACTAAATATTAGGACTGGGTGAAGGGAGAGTAAATGGGATCAAACTTATTTGCAATACAACCCAGGCTGACTTCAAGATTCTTCTAGGGGGACTTCATGGGCTGTGTTTTGGGAACCCTAGCTGTAGTGCATTAACTGTGTGGTTATTCAGGCTTTCTATATATTTTGTGTATCTTTTAATTGCTTCAGCCAGTAAATCCCTGACTAGGAAAAAAAAAAAAAATGGTTTTCTCCTCTGATAGATGGGGGAAAATATGTAGAGAAGCAAACAAACAAAATCTCTTTTCTTTCACATGTGCCACCTGAATTTTGCCTTTACATATTTAAGTGTTGATGTCAAACTACTCTGTTCACTTTGAGTCATTTACTATCCTCACGGTAAACAGACAAACTAGCTTTTTTTTTCCCCTCCAATAAATATGTGAGTTGGATGTGTATGGGCTGCTGTCTTTGGATCTCAACAGTTGTTTGTTTGTGCATGTTACAATTCTGTTTCTAGATGCCTTTGGTAAATACCCCATGCATGGCTTCAATTAAGCTTTCTATATTGAGAAAGTATGCCTTAATTTATCAGGTTAAAGATATCTCTGTTACATCAATTTGTTCACAGTGTGTTGTGACCTAATCAACTAGGGATGTAAGCCATTTCATGAGGAGTAATTACTCAACAACAAAAAATGTCTCTCTTTGCTAATAGCTGTGAGTGAGTTGGCTAATTGGAATCCATTTTGATAGTGGCAGGTCAGCAATCAGGAGGTGGCTTTCCTGGCTGGCTTCTAGGTGGGAGGGAGAAGGCAGCAGCAGCAGAAACACAGAGCTGTGGTTTCCTCAGGTCACTGGGAGAGCTTCTCTCCATCGGATCAGTGTCACATGTGCTGGCATCAGGGTGTCCTTGTGACCCCCTTTACCACCAATGCAGTGACAGTTTGGTCAGAACCCTTTCCTGGATATCTTTGAGGGAAAGAATTCATGAGTGGGTTGGAAATGCCAGATCTTCTTTCAAGAGTTGCAAAAGAGTTCTGTTGTTGTTGTTGTTAGTGGGGGCAGGGGTCTGCAGTGATGGGACAAATCTCCATGGCCTGGCTAGGCCTTGGTCAGGAGATGATGTGAAGTTTAGGGGTGATGGCTCGTTATGTCTCTACTCAGATTGACTTAGGACAGTGACAGAGCAATTTTTGCTTTCAGTGCTGCATCACTTAGGAGCATGAGCTGCCAGTCCTGCTAGGGGTGACATGCAGAGGCATCTTCTGGATGACCCCACTGGTTACTGTCCTGATTTCCTACTTGATAGATTATTGAGGTACATTCTGTTTTTTTCTTTTTCTTTGCCTCCCCTCCTTGTCTTCAAACCTTACTGAGAGGGAGGTGGAGAGGAAAATCCTCATGAATTAACATTATTTCCCTGGTGGGCTTTGCTGCCATTTTATCTAATTACGCCTGCTGTTTTCCAGATCACATTGTAAGCATTTGCATGAAGGGGCTTTCACTTACCTCCTCAAGTAAATTAAATAACAGCCCTTAGGCTGGGCTGACAGCATAATGCATTTTCATGCGGGAGATCAACAGCTCCCATACCTTGAGATGGGAGATGCTGAAGTGACAGGGAAGCTCTGTGCTTTTGTCTCGAATTAGGGCAGCTAGACAGAGTTAGGGCCACTTTGAAAATGCCTGCTGCTGGCTCTTGTGGTGTGTGGGATTGGTAGGAAGAGAATGGCACACAGGAATCTGCAGAGGGCCACAGAGCACAGACTCAGGAGGATCCACGAGCTACGTGCAAGATGTGCAGGAAAGCCAGGCAAAGCAAGCCTGTTGTCAGCAGCTTTAAATGCACAGCCCTATTGGAAAGCGTGAAGGGATCTGCAAACTGTGGAAGATCGGAAGCCACAGACATAAAGCAAATGAGAGGTGTAGGCCCTGCCCTGAGGATGTTTACAGCATGACTTCGTGGATGAGGAAGGCTGGACTTGTGTGGAGAGCTCAGGAAATCAAAACACACGGCCTTGACTTTCATTTCCACAATAAGCCAACCCGTAGTTTCCCTGTGCTTCATTTCTCCAATTTGCAAAATGAGGCTGTAGCCCGTCTGCTGAAGTGACATCCTTGCCTGACCCGTTACTCCCAGCAAGCATCCAGCCCCAGGAATTATCCTGCTGCAAATGCTTCAGAGTTCCCAGAGCCCTTCATGATAGCAGCCTATGGGATGATCTGGTCCCTTCACAGTCATGTGTGTTACACATGAGAAATGTGGATCTGCCCTTCCCTGGCGGTGGTCACTCCTTCATTCCTTTGCTGTAGTTGGGAGCTCCTGAGGAGAAGAATGGATCAGGAATAAATGACCATGAGGAAATGTGTTTCTTCAGCTCCTGATCAGCCCAGGCTTGTCTTGGCAAAAAAGAGGATGTTGATGGGAAGGCAGAGAGACCTCCTCCAGCCACTATGCTTAGACAAACTTTGGGTAGCTCCAAATTCTGGTGTCCTCTTGGATTCTTTCTCTACAGGACCTGAAGCAGGGATGTGCCAGGAAGCAGGTTGGTGAGCTGCATGGTGATGCTCAGTCAGCACTTGGGGAGCGAGGAAGAGAAGGAGCTGGACCTGGACAGGAAGTAGGGAATTTAATCCCTACTCTGGCTTGCTCATGTTGGTCATGAATGGGGGTCAGCAACAGGAGAGACTGCTTAGCTTGAGAGGCTGTGCCTGACTTATGCACAGCTCCCACCACAGAGATGTTTCACGTAAAGGGAGAAAGGTGATATGTGTTCATTTAGTTCACTGTAACTCTGAGGTGACAGTGACCCTCTCAGTATTACACCTATAATTTTGAAGTACCTTCTAGCTTTTGGTTCCTTTTATCCTGTGTCATTGGTTAGGGATTAAGGAAATCACACAGGTCACTAAGATCTGCTTGAAGGAATCTCCAGTGACTCGCTTTTGTCTAGGGATCTTTGCTGAAGAAATGTGATTTACTTGTTTTTCTTTAGGAAAATCAAGTTTTCTGTTCCATCAAAACAGTTCCAGGTTGAAGGTGGAGGAGAGCTAGAAATATTATGGTGGTGGGTGTGTAAACACCTTTTGACTTACATGTTAAAGCATCTTGGCTTTTCCAAGTAACTAGAGAACTACTTTGTGATGCATTTCTGTGTCTGAGATGAATTTTGAATGCCAGCAAGATAATGAGATTTATCAAATAAAAAGCCTGTCTTTCACTTTGTTCAAGCTTGGCCTCATGCCTCAAATACATGGAGTTTAGCTCAGAAGCAGCTTGTAATTTGTATCACAAAACCACCGTGTGCAATGCGTGATGGATGGTGGCCACTGGGTGCGGGAGGTTTGCAGTCACTGACATTCCTGCCTGCTCAAAGTGGCTGCAAGGGCCAGGGGACCAGTGAATGGCCACCACGAGGCTACCGTGGGAGGGGCTGAGGAGGTGTTTGCCTTCATAAATCAGGGATTCAGGTTCAATGGCAATCACTCTTTAGCATGAACTTGCGGGATGTTCACAATGCAAGACACAGTGCTGCTTTTAACGTGGATGGGGAGATGATTCAGGACTGGTACAGCTGCTTCAGTGATCTGGTAGTATACATCCCGTTATCATTATTCACTCACATTATTCACTGTTAGAAAGCTTTCTAACAATTCATGATATTTCTCAAGCTCTCATCCCCTCCTCTCTCTTTCTAAAAAAACTAATTTAATTTTATTATTATTATTATTCAGATTCCTGCTGTATACATCCCCCAAGCAAGTGGGAGGGGGAGTTGGTGGGTGATGACTTGGCTTTGTTGGAACTTCACTTAATGCAGGGTGGGGGCAGAGAAAATGAAGCTAAATTACGCAGATCCTGAAGGCACAGCTAGTGCACTGCATCACTTGTGAGCATGACTAGAACTGAAAATGAATCACAGCCTTGTTAGACACGGTATGTGTCAGTGCATGTGGGCAGAAATATCATTCAGTGAGAGAGAGAAAAAGACAGAGAGACTACATCTTTTAAAGTGTGCTGGTCCCACTGAAATCGCTGTAGTATTTAACCTCATGGGTGAGAACTGGGGAACAGTGGGGCTGTTCCCCAGGATACTTTACCTTGTCAATTTTTATTCCTTTCCGAAGGTTCAGAAGGAGTCTGGATTTGTCAGCAGTGACATCTATTTTCTAAACAATAAAAGGCTATAATTGCAAGCTGAAGTTTGAACCCACTGTTGAGGACTTTAAAATACAACCACCCATTTGGGGCTAGATTCAGCTCATGTGTTCATTGTGCATTAGGAAGCAAATGTGATTTGCTCTTTGTGCAAACTTTTGATGGTTGCATGTGCACACGAACTCACAGTATACACACGTGCACACTGGGCCAGTTGGCATATTCCAGAGACAAATATCCAGCCTGGAACTGTAACCCTGGTTCTTGCAGCTGTATAACTCAAACATTCTATTTCTAGAATGGAAATTGGTTTTGCAGTTCAGTTGCAGTGTGACAGAGCCACGTCAGGTGATTTAATGGGGAGATGCTGGAATCAGCTGGCCACTGAAACCTGCTCTATCTGTGTTTGTGTTCCAGAAGATACTTGCCACAAGTGAGAGCAACGTTCCTAAAGAGGCTCTCCCACCTCCTGCAGAGACTTATCCATTGCAGCCAACGAGCAGCAGCCATCTTAAAATTCCCCCCTTGGCTCACTAAAACCACATTTTTGCAAAGGCAGATGGAATCAACCAGTGTATTCTTTAAGGGATTTTGGTTGTACATTTGTGAATGTTGTGCTCAGTGCCTGTGCTCAGTCATTGGCCTGTTATGTATGATGTGTTGTATAATTTAAAAGCTGATGAATCTAGGCAGTAGCCTGAGTTTTTAATAAGTGGCTAGAGATGTGTGGTTTTTCCTCTATCCCCCTCCCACAGACCAGGTGCTTTGTACTTTCTGAACATGCAGTGGTTTTTGAACGTTGTGAAGGATGTAAACTGCAGCTGAGAACACAACAGTGCACCTCCCCCGGCCAAAAAAAAAAAAAAAAAAACCAAAACAAAAAAACCAAGGAAAAATTATAAAACCCCCACCATCAGTAGCTTTCTTAAATCCTGGTCATAATGTGGCATTCCTAGAATGTCCATATTTGCTAAATTAAAGAGGGAAAATGAGGCTAGCTTGTGATTTTCTGACTCTTAATGTGACTTTTTTGGGAGGAAGGCAAGGAATGGATCCGTACTTGCGACAAGTTAAAAATAATTTTTAATTACTTGGAGTAAGAACATGTTCTGAAAAGTAAAGATTTTGGACCTAATGTGCATGGAACAAAAGGCCGTTGTGAGCTATGTACGAGAGTTGCTGCGAGTTTGTATTCTGCCCTTTTTTTTTTCTGTGGGAGTTATTTCCTGTTGTTGACTAGAGTTCTTTATTTAGAACCACCTAGCTACTGAATGACGGCTCGCTTGCAAGAAGAAAAAGTGTGATTAAAACTTGCTAAGGCTTATTCCAAGATCTCCCTACTTCCATTTATTTAAGGGGAATCTTCGCTAAATGAAAGAAAGTGAAGTTCAAAACAACAAATGCATTTTCTTCTCATTATTGCGCCAACACCGGCTGTGGCAGCTAGAAAAAAGATCTTGGGAGGCTGAGGTCTTTCACCTGAACATCTCATGGAAGGTGGTGTTTGTCTAAGAGAGGTGATTTGGTGTAGGTTGTTCTGGTTTTAAGAGAGAAACAAACCCATCAAATGCCAGGGCTCCCTTTTTGCTGGGGGCAGCTCTTTCTATGAACCCCACAGGTCAAGTAAGGAGCGGGCACTTGCACTTTCCCAGCTGCTCAGAGAAAGAAGAGTTTCTTTGAAGAGCACTGCCAGCAAAAAGAAGTTTCTGTATGCTGACCTGCTTGGCAATAGTATGTGGGTATGTGTGTGGAGTCAAATTATCAGCACTTTGACAGCTGCCTAACTTCTTTTGCTCTTGTGGCAGGTTCTGAACATCCAGCAAGAGTACAGTAAAGTTAGCAGAAGAGCAGATTCAGAGGAAAAAAGAAAAAGATTTAACATGAAGGTTATCTCTACTGTAGGTAATAGGTAAGCAGGCAAAGTAACTGGGGTTTATTATGACTTTTTTTTGCTTAGCAGGAAATGCACTAGGAATGTCCCCTGGGTGTGGATGACTAGAAAATGCACTGGGGCATGAGTGATAGCAGATGGACAATCATCCCTCCTTGGTTTGGGAGCCTTCTGCCCATCCCACGCCTGCTGGGGAAGTTTGTGGCTGGGAGAAGAAGCAGGGAAAGCCTCAGTGCTACACCTCGTGTTGCTTTCTTCTCCTGCTGCTGTCCAGTGGTCAAACAAGAGAAGACCCTGGACTTGGCAGCAGCACCATCAGTGGGAATGCAGCTCATCCTCCTTGTTTCTTGGGTCCGCTCCTTTCCCTTGACTTGTTTCCTTCTGTACTCCAATTTTGTCTCTCTTTTGCCCCCTCACCAAGGCTAAAATAAAAAGGGACAATTATTATTGTTTGACCAACCTGCTTATATGGCTGTCACAGAAAACCACCATAGTTTATGCCACATGCAGCACCTTCTTCCCTACTGCCATGCCATCCCTGCTCAGGACATCTCTTTTCTTTCTTGCTTGCTTTCTTGCTTTATTTTCTTGCCCTACTATTTCCTTCTGCATCCCTGTAAATGCCCGCACATGCTTTGTCTTATGGGTGTGACCAGACAGGAGAGCTGCCCCTTTCCTCTTCAAGGACATTAGCACCCCAGAGTCACTGTGGGAGGAAGAAAGAGACCATTAAGAGGTGTGAAAGGAAGGGGACTCTGATGATAAATGGTGGATTTTCAGCTTTTTTCCTTTGTCCTGTTGGTAGGACCTAAATGCTGGGCGGGTTTGCAGTGATTTAATGTTTCATCCTTGCTTGGGAATACTAATTAGGTGTAAACCTCTTTTAGCCTTTGGCTAATGGTCACTATAAATGAACAGCTTCCTTGAAAGTGAAAGAACATATAAAAAAGGTTAGAGGAGAACCTAAATTAATTTGTGCAGTTCCCTTTTTTTTCAGAAAGATAAAATGCATTTCTGACGGTTATGGGGTGGTTTTAGGTAGAGTTGAGAAATGCAGACATCACCCACAGTCTGTTTACCTGCATGTGCAGTATGAGCTTCTGCTGACTCTTAGCCGTGCTAGCACTAGGGAATGTAGAAAGACAAAATGAATCATTACCACAGGCATAGTCACTAAAAGCATCTGATATACTCATTCAGTCTTTTTTTTTTTTTTTTTAATCTCCTCTTTGCACATAATCTAAGGAGTTACACATTTTGTGAAGGGTTAAAACAGAAGGATTTGTGCATTCACTGCATTGACTCAATGAGTTCAGTTCTGTATGAACTTCAATTATTTGTAGAGGAACAGAATGGCAGTGGGAGTTAATGCTGCTACATTTGATGTTCTTGTGCTAGGTTTTCTGCCAGCTACTTTTTTTTTCCTTCCTCTTCTGAATTTGGCCCTACAGATTCAACTTCTGTTTTATTGGGGTTTGTTGGTTTTGGCTTTTTGCCTTTTTTTGTAAAGAAGTGGTGTAGGTCACTTACTGTTTACTTAAAATTAGACCCTCAGAAACCTCTGTCTGAAAGGAGTACAGATAAACATTTTAAAGAATTTTGCACCTGGGACAGCCAGAGAAAGGATTTATCTTTGCAAATTTGAGTTACTTTGAAAAATCCTCTATCTTGGTAAGTATTCTTTGAATCTAGAGGCTCTAAGAAGCTGCATAAACTAGTTTTAAATAATAGGCCCAAGCCCCCAAATCTGCATAGGAGCATTAATGTGCTTTACAGGTTGTATTCCAGCCAGAAAAGCAGCTATAGGTGAGTGCATTCATTTGGATGTCCATATATTAACTCATGTTTTCATATAAATAAGGATAAGATAGCTTGTTGTTGGTTTGGCTTTTGTTTTGTTTTGCTTTTTTTTCTGGTAATGCATCTGAGCACAAACACATTTAACTCCAGTGACATGGTTTAAGTCCTGCTGAACATATTGAAATGCTGTGTGACATCCTCCATCAGCACTGTAGCCACAAGACCATTTCAGTTGTGCCCTCCTAGCCTCCAACTCCTTGTAACTGTTGTACAATGCTGTAATGCAACAAATTGAGCAGGAATATCCACTTCTAGAAGCTTCTGGTCACCCCACTGGTGGCCCCATTTGGTCTAGCAAGCCTTTGGCATCTGAGCAGGGTTGAGCAGTGCTAAACATATTCCAGCCTGCCTATGCACCCATGCCTCTTTCAGGTTTCAAGAGCTTTTAGGAAAAGTGTGGGGAGCATCTGTGCTCCAGAAATGTATGGCTCCACGGAGAGCTCTGTAGGAGTAGCTTTGCTTCAGGAGAGGGCTGTAAGTCTGTGCAGGGTAAGCAGAGCTGTTCTCCCCTGGTGAGCAAGGAGCAGGTGGTCCCTCAGCACTGGGGATGTGCTGGTGACCTTTGTGCTCAAGTGTGTGTGGCTTGCACGTTGTTAAGATTTTCAGGATCCTGTTGGGTTTGTGCTCAAGGCTGGTGGGTGGCCCAAAATCTTCTGGCTTGATTGCAGCGACATCTGTTTACACCAGTGGTTAATTAGGCCTGAAGACTGACCATCTCTATTTTTTTCCCACTGTTTCTGTGTTTTTTCTTGATAAGAAGTATTCCCTCCTCAGCTCTAAAACAGAAGCTTTGGTTTCATCTGCAGATTTTTTTCCCCCTTGATCCACTGGCCCTGGTATGAGATGAATATCAGGACATCAGCATAGCCTCTCTTCAAAAAAGTAACCAAGTGTTCCAGAAAAGAATGACTTGTGCTTTTGATAGAGACTGCAGAGTGAGCATTGAAAGGGAAAGAAAAGCAGCCTGAAATTGTTTAAAACTCAGCTCAGTGCAGAGTACAATTCACTGTGTCACAAGAAGCAGGATTGGAAAGGGGAGACTGTGCTAGGAGCCTGTGTGCCATACAGGCAGTGCCAGTGTGAACAGTCTGGCCTGGGCCAGGAATGAAGCACATTTTGCAGGGGATGCAGCCTGAATGGGGTTTGGAAAGGAGCACAGATTTTTATGAAAAGGCAGAAAGATGTGAGGAGATACCCCGCAATGGTAGGCAGCCTGAACCTCTTTCAGAGGACAGTCTTTCAGCTGGAGCAAGGATGATGCACACCAACAGTCTCCAGAGGACTGGGAGTGCACAGGGAATTACAGAGGGAGGGAGTCATCTCCGTGCATGAGGAATGCAGCAAAACCTCCTCTGACTAAGCCAGCTAATGCACGCTGCTTTTTTTTTTTTCTTTCCTGATAATCCTGTTCCATAATATTTCCTTAATAATTTAGTATGTGAAGAGTAGCCCTTCTGAAAAACATCTAAATCACCAAATCTTACATTCAGATGAAACCCTGTCATTCGCACACACTGGGGATTTTTATTTGGTATGGCTATTTGAAAGCAATCCTGGAGTTAAGAGTTGGGGTTTTTCCCTTAATTACTTAACGAATTTACCATGTGGCACAAACCTTGGTACTGCCAAGCAGTAGCTTCCTATTACTAGACTGTACAGGCCTGATCCTGCATTACCAAAGCCAAAAGCAGTATTTGGGAACGGACATTGTCATCAAAATCTGTAGGAAGCTTAGAATAACTATACAAAAGGGGTTAGTTGCACTCAGAATATTGATTCATGAGCTCCCTCGTTTTTTGCATCGCTGTTCATTTTACCCAAAGAAGATCAACTGCCCAACTGGACATATAATATATGATACTGCATTAGAACTAAGGCTGCATTTGGTCATACTCATTAATTAAACTGATTTCTCCTGTAGGTTTTTTTTTTTTTTTTTTTTCCTGGAGAACTAACCGAGAATGATAATTAAGCATATTATGCATTCTAGGGAATGGTGTTTCTCGTACTGCCACAAAAACATTAAGGGAGAAAAATATGAACTAAAGCAGAAAATGAAGAGGGGGAAAAGAGCTAAAACTGGAGTGAGAAGGGGTAGAGCATTCCTTCATTTGGTTTTTACTGACTCCTGTGCCTTGGGACACATGGGGCAGCCTTGTTCGAGTGGAATAGTTGCAGCAGCAAAAAAAGAAGACAAAGCCATTGAAATCCCAAGGAAAGCAGCCCAGCTCCCAGGTGCAGTTCCCTGAGGAACTTGTTTTCATTTGTGGCTGAGCCTCACACGAGAAGGGCCCTACTCCTGGAGGTCAGTGCTGAGCTTGAAGAGAGACTGCATGAGGGGTGAGCAGTGTTTACCTGTGCCTTTGCTTGCAGTGTGCTTTCTCCTTACCCAGGAGAGCAGCTCTGGCTGTAGGCAGGCCCTTTGTCTAGCTTCTCCCAAGGTAACAGTGCTGAGGGGGTCTTGATTTGCAAAAAGTTGCTCTGGTGGGCAGTATTAGGTGTTTGCCTGCCAGCTTCTGCAAGCACCAAAGCAAAAACATCCAGGGAGAAAATGAAGTTGTGTTGAACAACTACCTGATGAAATCTCACAGTATTCATACGTACTGCAATCGGAAAGGAAAAGGCCAAGGATGCAATTAGAAGCATAGGAAGCAGTTCACTCCCTCTATTTTTGAAAAGTGCAAGGGATGCCAACATTCCAGCACAAACTTTTCTGCTCTTTCCTAATTAGCACATGTGTTGATGGGCAGATTACCTGGCAGTCTGTAGTGTTTCTAATTAATTGATTTATGAAGTCCGGTGTCTGTTTCCCCCTTCCCAATCTTTGATTTCTGTTTGCTCATTTATTACCTTGTTCATTTATTTATCTTCAATGCAGAGGTGATTTGTGAATGATCTTCGTGAGACCTGGCCTCAGTCAGACAGGGCTGCACTCAGGCCATGCCTGTAGCCCAAGTCAGCTCGGTACTGCTGCAGAAAGACTCAGCTCAGCTCCTTCTCTTTTACTGTGTCATCTTCACATGTCAGCAGCTCAAGGGCCTCTGTCAAGGCTACGACTGCACAATTAAACCTTGCTACATGGTTCTGAAATGGAATGCATTTTGGGTGGCTCCTCCTTGCAGACGCTCAGGCTTTCCCCCCTCCCTGGAAACCTCTGCCGACACACAGCGCAGCATCTCGTGGCTCCATTGCAGGCTGCATTTGTGTCCTGCAGACACCTTCTGCTCAGGCTCCTCCGGAGCTGCAGAGCTGAGTTTCTTGGCCAGAAAGGTCTCGCTCAGTCAGATGTGAGGAGCAGCGAGCAGCGGGATTATTCCCCTTGCCCAGCCCGAGCTCCTCCCGCCGCGCTGGAGCCTGTGCCGGGCACCAAGCGCAGGAAGGAGCTCTGTTCATATCGATTCCTATCGTGACCTATGCTCGGCTGGGAGTGCTTCTGAGTGTGGATGCAGGTTGTACTAGTTGTGTTCAGAGCACAATCTGAGTTACAGCGTGACTGTAAACTCCTGCCAAGAAACACTCGGGAGAGTTACAGTAGGAAACAGAAGGGGCGGCGAGTTTTTTCTTATGCTGGTGTAAAATTGGAGCAACCCAGCGAAGTCAGAAGCGTTTAAAACTCGAATGACACAGGCTGTACCGTGGCAAGATCAGGGCTGTGCATATCGGGCTGGAGCCCAGCTGCTTATTTAGCAAATGTTTGTGGTTGTGCCTCTGGTGCCGGTGATAGCGTGCACACACCCAGGCACGGGGACTGTAAACCTGCCGCGGACTTTGAGCTCCGCAAGGCAGGCGCTGCTGGCTGGGCGCATCCACGGCGCGATTGTGCAAGGCCAGATCTAAAGGAGGATGGAATGGGGCCCCGAAATTCAGTGAATCTGGCCCGCAAAAAAAAAAAAACAACCAAAAAAACCCAAAAAAACCCAAAAAAAACCCACCAAACAACCCAGCCAGCAATGTGCAAGTATTACAAATATTCTCATATTCTCTGTGGCTTTTGAGTAGGCAGAAGCCCACTGAACAGGTATTACTCAGGCTCTAAAGAAGATGAACCTTTTCCTATTATTTAGTGATTTTATTGTGACGCTGGTAATTGCAGGGAGAGACTCGTTTCCCCAGGCAGAAGGACCAAATTTCAGTGCCTTGCTGCTGGAAGGTATCCAGCCAGGGAGATTCTGGGTTTAATGTTTGCCAGATCCTGGGCAATTCGCAAATCACTCGTCAAAATCTAGTAAATGGCTCGTGAATTGCTTTGCAGATTGGTTTAGCGCTAACTCTGTGCCATGGATTCGGGTTGAGAGAGCTTGGATCTCCTCAAAGGAATGGCTGATGGCAGGGATGGAAAGGGAGAGGTGTGCTGAGGCCTCCAAACCGGCTGAATAAAACGTCAGGTTTTAGATCTGCTGCCCTTTCCGTCCTTTGCAGTGAGTTCAGCAAAGTGCTCAAGTGCCAGTCCTGCTGTTTTAACATCAATTTGATGGGGCCTTTTCAATTCCAATTTTAAGAATCAAAAAATCAGCACTTAGTCTCCTTTTATTTTGGCAGATTCGCTATTTTAATTGTTTGGTGATGTTTTTCCTTTGTGGATTTTTTTTCAGCTACAGTTTCCAGGGTAAGGAAACCTTTATTCTAAAGGTATCCTTTTCCTTTTCGGTTTTCTAACTGAAAATGGAACTTAGTTTCTAGCAAGACCATCATCTTGATTGATCTCAAATCATTACAGACCGTTTTGAGCATAATACCTAAACGAGTTGTGGTATTAATGACTAATAATCGCCTTTATATTAGGTCTTAAAGCTTTATTGTCCCGAAGTACAACCGGTTTAGTGGAACATGAAAGGCCGGAACGATCCGAGATGCCTGCTGGGGCTAGAGCCAAAACTATAAGGTGTTTGAATCGCCTTTAACAGCGCCGGCTGGGATTACAGCCCCTTTCAAAACTCAATCATTGAGGTGACTTAAAATAATCATCTTCTTTCCAGATAGCGCCTGGTGCCGAGCGCTTCCCTCCTTCCCCCAAGTCTTGGCGCGTTTGAACATCTCCGTTTGGCCTCATTTTTGTGCTTCGCTGGTACCTGCACAGCCCAAATTAGCAGCGAGGATCCCACGGACGGGGGCCGCCGCCTCCCTCGGCTCCCAGGTGAGGTCCCGGGGCGGGTGGGCTTTCCCCACACCGTGACCCCGCTGTGCTTTGGGCCGGGGGGGGGGAGAGTTTTGGCTTGTACCGGGACAATCAGGGGCCAGCCCCGGCCGGGTCCCCGCCACCGGATAGCAGGGATACTTGTCATATTTGCGGTCGGGGAGCGCTGGCACCCGCCTTTGTGCCGGCCCGGGGAAGCCGCGGGGGCCGCGCCGCCCGCTCGGGGCCGGGGCACGCGTGGGCAGCGCGGGGAGCCGGAGCGGGGGAGGAGGAGAGGAGGAGGAGGAGGAGCAGCCGCGGGGGTTGGGGGGCGGGGGAGGAAGGCCGGGGCCGAGGCGGAGCTTTGACGCGGGCCGGAGGGTGAGGAGCTCGCCGGAGCCGCCCCTGTCGTCAGTGCTGGCGGCAAGTGCTGGGAGCCGCGGCTGGTGGTGCCTCCTCCTTCTCCTCCTTCCTCTCCTCCTCCTCCATTGTATAATGCTGCGTGATCGCAGCCGCCGGGGCAGAGCGGAGGCTTAAATCCTCACGCCGCCTGCTCCTGCCTCCTCCTCCTCCTCTTTTCCTCCTCCTCCTCTTTTCCTCCTCCTCCGCATCCCACCCGGCCCCTCCCCGGAGCGGCGCGGCGAGGAGCGACATATGGAGCTGCTCTAGGGCCAGAGTTTCCGACATCCCCCTCTCCATGCTTTAGTTCTCAGGTGGAGCTGCATGTGGTGAGTGGGGCTGGGGGGCTGCGGGGCATCGGGGGGCGGCGACACTCCTCCACCCCCCTCTGGCTTTGCGAGTCATCGGGGCTTGTTTTATCTCTACCTTTAAATTGGTCCCCGGGCAGAGGAGCCCGGGGCGGGGATCCTCCCCCTCTCCTCCGGGGTGGGGAGGGGGTTCGTGTTGAGATGAGCAGAGGAGGGAGAGCGGCGAAGTTGACCTTAAAATACGCCCCCTCCCCCGCCGATGCGGGGGGATCCCGAGCCGAAGCAGGTGCGGGGAGCCGGAATAGACTTTTTTACCGAGCTGGCCGTGCCGGGCCCGGTAGTGCGGCCGGTTGTGTCTCCGGAGCCGCGCTCCCTCGGACGCCGGGAAAGCCGCGCCACCCCGGTAAGTTCGGTGTGCTCCGGGGAGCCCCTGGAGCAGCGCTGCAGCCTGGCTCCCTTCTCCCGGCCAGAGAGGGGGATTCGGGGAGCCCCGAAAAGTGCCTGCTGTCGTGCCGGGGGAGCTAAAAGGGCTTGGGGGGGACTTTCACTCGGCTGAAGCGAAGCTGACATATGGCCGGGCAGGAGCGGCTGGCCCCGCTGCCCGGCCCTTTGCAGGGCTGGTGGTAGGGCTGGGGATTAGCCTGTCTTTTCCCGGAGCAATAGCGCGCATGGGTCTTCCTTGGGAGCACCGCCAGCGCGGAGAGACAGAGGCGTCTGGGGGGGATTTTGTGAGTAACGCGCTTCATCTTTTGGAAGCCACGGCAAAAATGTATATTTATTAGGATTTTCTTCGGGGTGGATGAACATTTGAAGAAAAAATCCTTTTGCGGTGCCACTTCGATTTAGAGCGTTGGCTGCTTTAACTCACATCAGGATCTGGAAAAATAAGTTCTTCCTAAGCATGAAAATAGGAGTACAGTTACCTGCTGTCATTTCTTGCATTTTGTGAAGCACAGCTGGAGAACCCAGGGCCACTTTAGTTGGAAATCTATAGAGAGGCTTGTGTGCTGTCCAGTGGGCCCCTTGGTGGCTGATTTACAGCTGTGGGTCAGCTGCTGGTGTAAAATAAAGCGAATCTGCCCATTTTATCTCCATCCGGGGGAGGGCTGTCAGCTTCTTGAGCCGAACTTCAGTGCAGCACGCCAGAGCTGTTGCGTGTGGCAGCGTGTGCTCAGACACATCCAAGGCTCTCGGGAGCAGGGAAATCCAGGCTTTTTTCATCTGCTGCCTGGTGCAGTCATCAGGGTGACTCTCGCTGCCGTCAGTGAGTGCTGGATTTTGCCATTCTAGAATGCACTATTGCTCAAACAACGGTGGGAGAGAGCTTGGCTGCCCCGAACACCAGTTTTGTATTTGTGTCTCTCAAATGAGTGCACACTTGCAGTGTGTATGAGCTCAAACAACGCTTTCTGCCTTTTTTAATTTGATCATTTTAGGCATGCATCTGCACAAGTGAAGGTTCCTGTGTCTTATGGACTTTTTACAGGGTATAAACCTGACAGAGGCACCTCAGTTTGCATCTAAAGGCACAGGAAGCTTTCACATGGTAAAACAAGCTGTAAAAATGAATTGTGTTTTCAAATGATTGCTATAGAAATTAGCCAACTGATTTAGCAGCGTAAATTGAAAGTAGCCCTTTCTGGCTGAAGTTAAAATGCATGCATTTTACATAATAGGATGGTGTCTTTGGGCTCTGATTTAACATACTGAACCAGTGGTGGTGGTACAGATGGGAGAAGGATTAGGAGTTTGTGCTGCTGGACAGGTATCCAAGAGCATTCCTTCGGAGTATTTCCATTGTTCAGGCAAGTATTGCAGCATCCAATGTAACAGCTCTAGATATCCCTCCTCTCGTGACTGATCCTGCTTCCATTTAAGTTGGTAGCAGCAGCCACCCACTCCTTTTCTGCAGGAACTGGATTGGACTGCTGAACGAACGAAGCTAGACTTTGTGCATATTAAAAACACTGCTTTGATTTTTGTGTCGAGCTGATTTCTCTGAAGCTGATTGGAAACAAACAAAAAGAAACTTGATAGCCATAGGTCCTTCAGGTTGTGTCTTAAAGAGCATTAAATACATCTGTAGGTGCTGATTTATTAAGAGTTGTAATTGTGTTCCTTTATACGCCTGCTCTTTTTAATGGGAAAGATGAAATAAAGAGTTTCACAGGGGAAATAATGGCATAAATTTAGCAAGTGCTCAAATTGTTTGCCTGAGAGGCATCAAGGACTTTGAGATAATGTCCTAATAGCAAGGAAACACTCAAACTTCATATTCAAAATTTATTTTTTTATCTTCCATGAAGTACAGCAGATTTTATGCAATATGTAGTTTGAAGGATTTTGCCATCATTCACACAAGCTGCTTTTAGTTTATCAATAAATATTTCATTGGGAAAACATTTTTTTTTTTTAGAAACTCTTGATTTTTTTCGCACTGATGTAAAGCACTCCTGGCACAGTTCATCTCTGGCAGTGCTAACACTAGACAGGTGATCCAAAGTATTTGTGACTATTTTTGCTTTTATGTAACATCTTAAAGTGTAATCTGTCAAACAAGGAGAATGCAGTCCTTTGAAAGTGCAAGTAGTCTTCTGGTGATCTACTTCTTACAAGGGCCAGGTAGCAAGAGAGACACCTTCTTTTAACTCAGCTCTGTAGTGTAAGTGGCTCACAAGGAGACAGCTCCAGTTGCAGTGGTTCCTTAACAGGCACACGAATCAGTGCCAGAAATAGCAGCTTTCAGTTACCAAGTCCAAAGATCAGGAGTGTTTCAAAGGAGAGAGCAAGGTCCAGCTTCAATGTGAGCAGGTTGGCACTAAGCAGAGATCTTTAGTCTTGATGAATCTTTTGCTAATTAATGGTTTGTGGAAGATGAAATTTGCCAATCTGAGCACAGCACTCATTTACTTCAGGGGTGTATAATTGCATGTTTTCTGCCACTTCTTTTGATTTCTAAACTTTCATCAGTCAGAGAAACTGCTGTCACGAAGAGGTGCCTGTTTTCTATAAATGGAGAGAGACTCTCAACATGCGTTAGTTCTTTAATTCTTTTATAAACAGAGTCAATTTTTGTGTTTGCTGTAGTGGAGGCTTCAGGTTTGTTCAGCATTACCAGTGCAAACACTATAACAAAAATAAGATAACAATTCTCAGCTGTTCAACACCAGTGGGGAAGGCAAGGCCAGGTAAATGCTGTGCTAACGTTGCTCTTGGGTGTGCTGAAGTGTAGCCCAAGCTGAGGACCAAAGCAAACGTGTGGCTGGGAGACAGCAGAGGTTCAGTGGGAGAAACGGGCTGGTGTGTCCCTGCCCTGTCTCCTCTTGGCTGTGTGGGTATTCAGCTGTGTGGCACTGGGCACACAGAGTAGAAGCTGCACTGCCACCAGTTTGCCTCCCCCACGGCTCCAGATGCTGGCTGGCATTGCCAGTGCAGGAGGAGCTGTGAAGATGTGCTGGCTGGGACATTCCTCCAGCACAGAGGGGATTTTCGGGGTGGGGAAGACCCGATTCGGAGGGCATTTCCAAGGGAGAGTTGGGGCAGTCTCCAGGGGCATTGGGTGCAGCCTCAGGGGCCTTCAGAAAGGGCTTTAGGCTGTGACTAGGAGTGGGCAGACTTGAAAGGCCCCAAGAAACTGGCAAGTCACCAGAGAGCAAGTTTTTGGTTTTCATGTGTCCCTTTTTTGAGGGTGGAGTCTCATCTAGCTCAGGTGAGACAGCAGCCACCACCACATCAGAGTGACACTGAATTCAGGCTGCTGCAGTGAAACTAAAACCATGCTCAGGGCCCTGCATTAGGTTAGGTCAGACCACTGGTCTTCAAATGAGGGGCCAGGTCTGGTACCCTCCTCAGCTTGGAGGTGTTAAAAATAAAATAATCATAAAATCAGAGGTGTTGCCATAGAACGTCTGAAGTTCCCAACCTGTATAACATGATCAGTGTTTTGAGTACCAGTGGTTTTAAAGACAAATTTCTCCTTAATATCACTCTGGAATTGAGTTTTAAGTGGCATTGAATGACATGACTCTCAGTCTGTGTAATTATTAGGAGCCAGAACCCGTTTACTTTGTTTCACACCAGTAAGGTGCGTTGGATTTCATCGGACAGTTTGTTTCCAGTGAAGTTAGAATAAAAATTGAATTCTTGATATGGTAGAATACAGAGAGAAGAGTTCAAACATGGGTTGTTTTCTTTTAATGTTATTTTGAAAACTGGGTGGTATATGGAAGTAGCAGAAAAAAGAAGTTCCCTTTTTCAAGGAGTCCTGAATTGGTGGAAAGATCTAAACTTGCCCTAATACTTCCTCAGATGTAA